TGCCAAGACCCCACCCTAACAAACTCTATTATAGCCCATAACAACCCGCTCTAGCACTATATAGTACAGTACAGCCTAGAATATTATTTAGATACTACTTCTGCTTCTTGCTTACATGTTTGTGTGTTATGCCTAGTCTAATTACACTATCTGCAGCGCCTTTAGGATAGCTTACCTACTTTAGCTTGCACCTGCTTCTTTGCCTTCTTCCTGTTACTACGCGCTCTAAACTCCTTTAGAGCTGTTAAGCGCAGGCCTTCCTAAATTATTAAGGTCTTTTTTGCCTTAATTTGCTTTCTTTTATGCAATTTATATTACATAGCAGCCTTATTAGCTGCTTAAAGCTTAGTAATTTTCTATTACGCTAACACTAGCTTATGCGTAATTATTACTGCCCCTTTTAAGACTTTCTTAAACACCTTAACTATAAAAGTTAGTAAACTATTTATATGCTTTTAAATTCTTATTTTTATAAGCATTAATTATAACCTAAGTTTTAGGGTATTACTTAGAGTTTATAACTGCTAGGGCTTGTTGTATATAGGTAGTAGTAGTAATAAAGTGCGCAACTTTACATTAAGGCCTATTATAACTTATTATAGGTTAAAAGGAACTAATCTAGCGCCTTAGAACCCTTCTTAGATATTACTAAAAGTAATTATAGCATAATAAGCTACTTTAAAGCATAGTAAGAACTTTATTTTTATAATATAAGTAATCTAGTTATGTATAAGGTTTTTAGCTTAGCGCTTATACACCTTTTTTAAAAAAGTAAAACAACCTACATTAAGTAGGTATAAAAGGTGTAATAAGTAAAAAAGTATATAAATAGTAATAATTTTATTATCTTTATAGTATTACTAAAAATAAAGCAAGTTGTAGCTTTTATAGCTATTAATAACTAGCAGACAGTAGCTGCTAACAGTACGCTTTTTTATATGCACGTTAAAGTGCTTTAACTAGTCTAGACTAAGCTAATTAGTAGTCTAGCTGCGCTTAGAGATTGTAATAACCTAATTCTAAAGTAGATTTTCCTTTTTATACTAATTTAAAAGGTAGTTGCTACCCTAGAAAATAATAAAGAGCAGAATAGCGTACTTTTTAGCATTAATGCCCTAGATGGCTGTTGTCTACTCCTAGTTACCTAGCTAGACTGCTTTTAGCTGTCTTTATCTCTTTAAACCTGTAACAACTGCTCTAGTAGATATCTAGCCTATTATAAACCTTGTTTTGTTAAAGTTGTACATGTTGTTATCTTAGATGCTATACTTAGCTTTAATATTCTTTATAAGGTTAAACTAGCTTTAAATTACTACAGGATCCTTATAAAAGGCTCTTTTATAGTTATACTTACACTTAAACTTTACTTTAAGCTCTAAGTAACACTTAATAAATGTATTAGGCTAGTTTATGCTAATATAGCCTATATTACGCTTAGCGCGTAAAGAATTAGCTATATTAGCTATAGCTGCTAGCTAGGAGGGAAATCCTTGCGCATTTAGCTTAAGTATGTGCTAAATAATTACCTGCTTTTTATTATTATCTAGCTTCTATAAGTTAGCTATATAATTAGCTTAGGAAGGTTGTCTAGCGCGTTAGTTACTTATTATCTTTTAAAAGACCTTATAGATAGCTGCAGCGCGTTGCTTAGAAAGTGTTGCGTTTTATTTAAAAGCCTAAAGCATAAGCTGCATCTAACGTTCTTTTAACGCATCTAAGTAATGTTATTAGAAATGCATTAGTATAGAAAGAGTAGTGTAGTAGGGTCTTAGCAAAAGTAAGCAACTTAGGTGTGTGAGCAACTCGCCTATGAAGTACGTTATTAGTAATAAGAAAATTATTCTTTATAAGCATTATACTATACCCTTTATATTAGTAAGTTAGAATTAATTTTCTAAAAAGCATGTTATTTTCTCTAAGATAATTTAGTAATAATAAAAAAAATAAAGATATAAATAAATAAATCTCTTATGCTGCTAATAATGTTTATATAAAGCACTATGTTAGTTAGTTATAAAGTTAGATAATAAGCAATAAGTTTAACATTTTTTACAGTAAGGCTAGAAAGACATACTAAGCTTAAGTAACAGTGTTAGCAGATATCTATAAATATTTAGCTAGAATTAGACAGATATAACTAAGAAAAGGGGACAGTACTAGAATACAGACGCTAACACACTAATTCTAGCTTAGCAACACCTTAAAACTATAAACAGTAACAAAAGAGTAAACTTTAGCCTACTAATAATAAAACACAGCATTATAATATTATATTAAAACACCTAGAATATAGTAATAAACCTAGTAAAATATATTTATTTGCCTTAAAAATCTAGAATATTTACAAAAGTAGTAGAAAGTTTTATAGGCTAATTAGACATTAATCTAGCCCTTTTTTAAACTGATAAGAGAAAAGGCTTGGCAAGGTGTACAGTGAATAATAGAGATATGGAGTTTAGATAGAGGGAACTTCTGCAATAGTCCATCTATTCGGAGGTGGTGGAGTTGGCGTACAGCCTTCTATGATACGCTCCTTTCCAGCTATAAGATGTCAACTATTCGCTATGTGTAAGCCTGCTCGTGATGTTGTTTAGCGCTAGGTAGTGCTTTAAGGCAGCCTCCTCGTTGTCGTCATGATTGTCGTCGTCGCTGGCTACTATCCTAGGAGGGCATGGGTTCCTCGTCACAGTCTAGCACACGCTGCAGATCGTTGCTTTACTGTAGGAGGGTGCTAAATAGCGTGTGTTGTAGGAGCATCTTGTATGAGTGCTGTGATCGCCGCGCTACGTCCTGGTTCACAAGAATCCCTCAGTCGCAGCCTCTATCCTCGCACGTCTCGGTCCTTCGGATGGCTAGCTGCATTGGCGCAGCCTCAAAAGTTGCAGCCACACTCGGCAGAGCCACCTTTTGACTAAGTAAAATAAAGCGTACAGGAGGGCCGTGTAGAGTTAGTTCAGCGGGGAGCGGTGCTCGCTTGATTGGACGGCTTTGTTTGGAGGTACTGACAGGGATCGAGACCCGGCATGAATCCATTGCCACTTACAGCCTTACGGCTAATTACATGTCTGTAGCTGTACTGTTCAGGTCTAAGGCCTAGCGAGATGCCCTTGAGGTAGTAGATCTATGGTGGTGGCTCTGTGAGAAGTCGCACTCGTTTTCGCTATAAAACAGGCAGGAAGGCATCAACATGAGCGTAAGTTTTATATAGGTAGGGTATTAAAGACAAAGGAGTAGCCGTAGTAGTTATCTATATCCTATGAAATATTATTAAATCTAAAGGGCACGCTAATAGCTTCTAGCTTTGAGGTAAAAGTAACGTTAACGTTACTCTTTTATTTTCCGGTACAAGGGTTGTTCTGTTGCGAGGGGATAACATCCCCACTACGTAGCGAGAACCACACCGTAGCGAGAAAATCCATAGGTACTTCGACTTCAAAATAGAACACAGTATCCTCACATCAATTTTTCTACATAGTAATGAGTGCGCGAGATACTGCTATTGTTCCTCTACCTTGTAGCTGCCTCGCCTATAAAAATTACCAGCGTTGTCGTCGACGTCGCACGTAGAACGAAGCTGCTTGATTTCGCGATACTCTAGGGCACCCCTGCTGCGGCTTCAGCGCGAGGCGTTGGGAGCTTTTAATGGTCATAATCCATTAATGTTCTAGCTTTGGAGCCGTGCAAGTGCACTCGCCAGTCGCCGCTAGCCCTGTCGCGGCAATATAAGGATGATTCGTATAGAATCGCCACGGCGATCGGTACCTCTTAGCCCAAGCGAGCAGGCCCTAGTCATGCCGAGCCGCATACCGCACGCTGACCTAATCTTTACACCGTAACATAAGCCTCAGCTTGAGCGAGCCAAGACTGTGGTTTAAGAATCTATGGCACAGCGCCCCGTTCCGCCTCTACGCGCGGGACAGGTCGTGAAGATGCGGCAATGCAAATGTACAGTCGCCTACCAAAAGTCATTAGCCACTCAACAATCTGAGCTCTGCAGGGGTATAGTCAGCCTATTTAGGAAAGAGGTTACTTAACTAATTGCTACTTAAATTAAAAGATTTTTAGTTCTATAAGAAGCCTATGTTAAGGCCTATTTTCTAGCGTTATAGTTAATTAATAGTAAGTTAACTTACCTTTATTTTAAATAACTTCCTTTATGCGCTTTAACTAGCTTAGGATACTCTTCCTATAATTAGCTAGTGTAATCTTTGCCTATTCCTTTTTAAGAATATCTACTATCTGCTTGTAAGTAGTAATATATTCTTATTGCTTTAAAATGCAGAGCTTTATAATCTGCTAAAGGTTCTTAATTAGGTTTAAATTAGGACTTTATAGAAGCTAATTTATCTATATTATGCTATAGTTGTTTATATACTTTTAGGTAGCCTTTGCAGTATGAATAGGGGCTCCATCCTGCATCTATATGCTAATACCGCGTTTCTCTGTAAGCTGCTTATAGAATAGGATGCTAACATTATGCAGAATCTAGTAGTATTTACTAGCATTGTTTTGCTTACCTTTTTAGTTAATAAACAGCTTTAATTTAAAATTAAAAGAGATTACACTAAATACAGAGACTGTAGTTCTTCTAGACTTAAATGTAGGCTTTAGGTACTAACTCTTGTACGCTTTTCTATGCTGCTAACGTACATATAGAGGTCTAGTGTCTAAGCTAACTTTAAATGTTGCTTTATTATAATAGGCTACGTAAGCCACATTACTGCTCTTATTATATTAATAAATTTAAGTAAAGTAGAGTTATTTTTTTTATGTACAGCTAAAAGCTAAGGCTTGTAATGCAGACAGAAGGCGTAGTACTTATGTTTTGTAAGGTATCTTCTTACAGTACTAGCATAGATGCAGCAGTAGGTCTTAGATAGTGTTGCAATAGTCTAAAGTGTAGTAAAGGGATTATTTACTACCTAGTAAATTAAATGCCTCTTAGCGCGTTTATTAAGCTTTAAAGGCTAGCCTGTACACAGGGCTTTTATATAGATAGGCTAGGGCTGCTTGCGCAGCTAGCAGATGTTATATGTAATTGTTAACTTAGGAACACTAAGACAACTTAAAATTTTGCTAGCGCTCACGCTGTAGAGGTAGAATTGCTATATTATATTAATAGTAGACTTAGATAGCTCTTTGCGCGAGGTTTTATTTACTTTTGTAACTATTAAAAAAAGTAGTAATTTAATTAAGTTATAATTAATTAAAATTAAAGCATTGTGGAGTGGCCTAGGCCTCTTGCTAAAGTGGCCAATCACTTTTAGTAGGCGACTGTACAGTCAGGCGTTAGCTGGATACAAGTCAATCCAGGGGCCCTCTTCAAAATAGTGCAGGGAGCTCGAGGATCGGCTTTAGGGATTGCAAGTTGCGTCTCCTAAACTTAGCACACGCTAAGATGAGGGTATAGATTGTGAAACGTTAAGGTTGCGCCTGCTTAAGTGGAAATATTGTTTAATTTTAGAAGGCGATTGAATATCAAGCAGGCAACATACGCTAACATGAGAAGCACGTTCTACAACCACATACGCGCTACTAGTGCTCTCCAGGGTTCCGTACTAACCTCATTTGTCTCAACCTGTCCATTCTGTATCCGCGCAACCTTGGTCCTGGGCTCTAAAAGATCTACCTCTGCCGTGGCAGCTGTCCGCTTCCGGCCCCGCTTTCCCCCTCCCGTACCAGCATCCTGTGCTTGTAAGGTAGCTTTTGCGATTTTCATAGCTTCCCTAGCCGTCTTTTTTGCCCTTTTCTCAGCTTTTGCAGCTTCCTTTACTGCATGCTCCGCTCGCGCTTTCTCCAGGTCCTCCCACGTCATCACCTTCGCTTTTCTAAGTATTACTAACTTAGCCGCTCAGCGGGCTTTACTTTTATTGTTTATTTTTACCAGGAATCTGTTTTAATCACAAAGGAGGGCGTTTTTAGCAAGAAATGTCTAGGCGGCATTTAAGACCTTCTGTTGGAGCCGCTCTTTGCGCCGGCTGCTTGCTTTATTGTTAGGAACGTGCTTAATCATGTTAGGTAACGACGTCAAAGCCTCTCCTGACACTGGTGTGGCAGGCGTTAGTAACTCTGTGTAGTGCTGGCAAGTGTCTACCACTGCCTTGTTCGCTTTTAAAATGGTTTAATAAGCGGGTGGTTTTGGTATATCATCAAGGACTCTGTTAGGGTTAAACGGGAACAACCCGCTTCCTCTCTATGCTGCGAGAATGTTTTGTTTACTTAACGCCCTTTCTCTCGCAGGGCCATACAGATAGGTGAAGTGCTGCTTGCCGATCGTGTTAACCCCTCCTCGCTCCATTCGCTCTACTTGTTCGCGATAGGCCGTCTTTAAGGGCGCGAAGACTCCAACATCACAGGGCTGGAGCTTATGAGATGTATAAGAGGGCATGCGGCACAAGGTAATGTTGTTCTTAAAGCAAAACTCCAGGATCTTGAGGGTCTCATGCGTTCTAAAGCCATCCCACACAAGTATTTGCGGTCTCTTGTTAGCTCTCTGTTTAGTCTGGGGGTCAAACACAAGCTTGAGCCACTGCAAGCTGATATGAGAATCGGTGAAGCCGGAATCAGAGCATGCATACACCCAACCAGGCGTGGGATACGTGGTCTAGTTCGCTCGATGGGTTGACGCCGGCCAAATTACCATGGGATCCAGACACCTACCATCGGCGGAGATGCATTCAATAGCAGTAATCATGGTGCGCTTGACGCGTGCGCCTCTATAGCCTCGCGTGTCATCCTTACTAACAAGGACTTTGACGGAGCTAAGCATGCTAAGCATAACCCCAGTCTCGTCCATGTTATATACGTTCTCCGGCAGGATAGCCAGGTCATGTATTTCCTTTCTGATCACCTTAAACTAGTGTAAAACCTTGTCATAGATGTTGTAACGGTTCCAGTCCTGCGGCTTGTTCTTTCTCGCTACAGCTCTGGACGACGCCGTTCGAGTCCTTTCGCACAGTTCACCCCAGGAGGCTTGAGCGGCCTGTCCGCTGGTGGCCGGTGGCGAGTGGCACTGAACGCTAACGAGGCTATATGCTTCATTCGCACCGGCCGTCCAAGCGTGCTCTGGTGTAACAAGAACTCGACGAGGGCATTTTCTTCGTATGGGTAGAGGTACTGCTAGCTTTCGGCTTTGGCTTCTCGCGAACGGCGTCCGCGTGCACGATGATGGAGGGTGGAGAGGGGGACGTCACCATGGGCTGCGAGGGCGGCATATGTGTTAGGCATGCCTTCGGGGAGGCCTTCAGCGAGTACTCGACTGGCTCTGTCCATGTTAGTTATTGTGATAGGCCGAAGGAGACAGCTGTAGCGAGTGCCTGCGGGGGCAGATACGAGGCAGTGCATGTCATGCGAATCCGACACGTGGCTGCAGATTGCTTGGCAATGCGCCACAGTCCACGTGATAGTGCCATACTATCCTCGGGTGGTATTTGAATTCACGCTAGCGTAAACCTGCCCAGCAGTCCATGCACCTGCATTCTCATTGTTGTACGCACTAGTTACTTGGTAAGTTCACGGCATTGCGGGTTTATTTAGGTCGAGACAAGACACTGGCGTGGATAAGAAAGATACTAAGTTATTACTGACTATTCCGCGCCCGAGCTCTTTCTCAGTTTGCGGAAGATGCGCCTGAAAGATCTTGACTTCGGCGCTTCCATGTCTGTAGACTTAGGCTGGTCTCCATTCGGCTCAGCAGACGCAACTTGCAAACCCTGAAGCCGATCCTCGAGCTCGCTGCACCATCTTGAAGAGGGCCCTTGAACAGCCGTATATCCAGCCAATGCCTGACTATACATTTCCCTTGCCGAGTCTATACGATCGGTCCGCGCGTAGAGGTCACAGAAGGAGAAAAAGGTGTTCAACCCCCGGCAAGTATGTCGGCAGAAGCTGAGAGTCGAGTGCCTCCTCGTAGCCTTGCAGCGCCCGATCGTACATGGCCTCCGCCTCCGCCAGCCTGCCTTGGT